TCTGCTGCAGGGCCGTGATCACAGGGCTGGGGGTACAGCCGGGGCACCCCATGAAGAAAGAAAAGGCAGCTCCCGGGCCACCCCGGGAAAGAGCACGTCTTCCCTCTCCGCCTACGGGAGCTTTTTAGTACAACATATGCCTGGAGTAGGAGCCGTCTGGAGAATGCCCCAGTGCACTGAGCCACTCCTCACTTCATCCGCCAGTCCAACACACACTGTGCGAGCAGGGGAACGCAGGGGCCCCCGCACCCCTTTGCTTCCCAACAGGGGCGCCTTTCCTCCCTCCACACAGGCTCAGAAGAGAGGCTGGGGGAACCTTCCCCTCCCAGCGGGCACCGAGGGCTGGGGAAGGGATCCTAGAACCGTTGCCAGCCAGGAGGCAGGGCTGGCCCCTTTCCAGACAGCTGCAAACGCACCGTTTGCCTGTGCCTGTTGGAATCTGCGTCAGCTGATGCCCTAGGCCCCAATCTGCTGCAGCCGCCCGACCCCTCCACAGAACGTCACAGTCCCTGGAGGATATCAAGCCTCGGAGAAAGGCTGGCATTGCTGGAAGATTTCTGTGGCAACCGCATGCCAGGTTTTCCAAAGGGCTCAGCGCTGGCCTAATTCCGCTCTCACTGAAGTCAATGAGACTCCCATTGGCGTCTACGGGAGCTGGGTTAGGCTAACGCGGAGGGGTTTTGAAAAGCCCAACCCGACAGCTTCTTCAAGAAGTGCAAGCTGCAGAAAACCCTGCTGCCCGCAAAGAAGTTGTGACGTTGGCTAAGGAGACTCACCCCCACTGATCCAACGACCCAGCTCCGGCCGGCTTCCAATGAAACCTTTAATGCTTTTTGTATTTAGAGATTTAAAAAAAGTCAAATGAAGCCTATGCACTACTTTGCATTGAAACCTAAAGACACCTTCGAAGGGGATCCAAACAGGGCCGGGAACGGAATGGGTCTTGCTACTTCACTAGCATCTGCAGATCACTGCAGCTAAGGGAAAAAAATGACCTGTCAGTGCTTCAAGCCACGAATTGATGGAATCAGGAATAAATTTCTTCCCATGATTCAGTGTTGCTCTATATTCACAGAGTTCGAGGCCCGAAGGGGCCATTAGATCAGCCTGCCCTCCTGTGTAACCCAGGCTGTGACATTTCCCCCCGTTTCCCCTGGGCTGAGCAAGTAACTTGCATTTGACATAAGTGTATCTTCCCAAAAGGCCTCCCTCCAGGTTTGATCTGAAGACAGCAAGAGCTGGAGAATTCACCATTTATTAAAGACGACGTTAGGACCCCGTATTTCCTCCCCACGGATACCCTTATACGCTGTAATCAAGTCACCTCTTAATCTTCTTTTGGACAAGCTAAACGGACTGAGCTCTTTCGGTCTCACTGTGAGGCATTTTCTCCAGCCCTCGAACCATTTCCGCGGCTCTTCTCTGCACCCGCTGCAATTTTTCAACATTCTTTTTAAAACGCAGATGCTAGACCTGGACGTGGTATTCCAGTATTTTGCCATCGACAGAGGTAAAATCACCTCCTTTCTCCTATTCCCCACCCGGCCTTTATGCATCCCAGGCCCACATTAGCCCTTTTGTCACAGGATGGCAGTGGGAGCTCATGTTGAGTAGCTTGCCCACTTCCACAGTCACTGCGTTCCAGGATGCAGTCCCCCATTCTGTGCCTATGTCCCTGTTCTTTGTTTCTAGGTGTAGAACTTTGCATTGGTCTGTATCAAAACACATATACAGAGTTGGGTTCTCATGCTGCACCCATCACCATGGTATCGGAACGCCAGAAATACATCCTATGGTCCTTTTCGTCTTCCTTTAAAGCACACGACATGCCAGATGAACCACTGGATGACTCAAATATGGGCATCTCTACCTTCCTAGAGCTATAACTCCCCCCGTCCCCCGCAGATATCATCCTCGTATTGAGGGATAGCCGACGAAAGCTATAACTCAGGCTAATTTGGGATACAGTCTCCAGTGGGCACAGCTAAAGAAGCATCCAATCACCAGTGAAGGAAATTCCCCGACCTCCCTAGGCGTCTGTTCCATTGTCCTACTGGTCTTACAGTTAGCAAGAGTCTCCTGAGATTTAATCTAGGTCTGATTCCTGGTAGCTGTGTCTACAGGCAAACAGTCCAAAAAGGAGAATATACTAATAGTAACAGCGCAACACGAGTTCAGGCAGAGACAATAGTAGCCATGTATGGCCCTCATACACTGCAAGCCAGTTGGTGCTGTTGGTTTCCTCCATCTATGATACATGGACGTCTTCCATCTTTAACAAGGAGGTGCATCCTATGGACACTGCTTGCCCCGCGTCCAATGCCTGGCCCTGTTGCATGCAGGGCTCCGTAGTTTCAATAGTATGCACACAGATACTAAAGCTGGGGCCAGCTTCAGTGCGCACCAGCTAATGCAAATTAGATTTGGCGCGTGGGATCCTGGCAGATTGCTAGTGCAAGCGTCGGCTGGGGAAAGGTTGGCTGCCCCCACGCCACAGGGTGTGCTGATGAGTGCTCAGAACGAACGGGGCGCACCAGACCACCGGGGCAGCAAAAGCTCATTTCGTTCGGCGAGCCGTGATTTGATCATGGCGAAACCCGCCCAACGCACTCGGAGAGTGAAGTTCTCCATTCAGCCGCCCACCAGGTACAGCCAGGACAACAGCCCCAAACCAGTATGTCTAACTCCTGACACCCGCCCCAGGAGGCTTTCACGGCCCACTCTCTTGGGAGTTCTAACGAGGGGGCCACCCTGGTTTTGTTTCCTAGGAGTTGGGCTGAGACCAGTGTCATATACCAGGTGATAACTTACAGCTCCTCCTGACACTGGCCAGGTCAGAACTGGCCTGCTAGAGATCCAGGAAAGAGACAATGGCTCATTACCAGTGACTCTCAACCTTTCCAGACGACTGTCCCCCTTTCAGGAGTCTGTTTTGTCTCGCGTACCCCAAGTTTCACCTCACTTCAAAACGACTTGGTTACAAAATCAGACAAAAATACAAGCGTCCCAACGCACTATTACTGACCAATTGTTGACTTTCTCATTTACCATATAACTGTAAAATAAATCAATCGGACTATAAATCTTGTACTTACATTTCAGTGTAGAGGATATCGAGTGGTCTAAACAAGTCATTGTCCGGATGAAATTTTAGTTTGTACTGACTTTGCTGGTGCTTTTTTTGCAGCCTGTGGTAAAACTAGGCCAATATCTAGATGAATCAATGTACCCCCTGGAAGACCCTTGCGTACCCCTGGATGAGAACCACTGTCCTAAGCCAACCAATTCCCCCAGCTCACTCATTTGCACCTGACCAATTCCCTCCCCATCTTTCCACCCTCATCCTCCAGGGACAGCAGCCTTTGGAGGGTTCCCCCTCCAGGGCTGGGAATCAGCTGCTGCTGCGACCTGGATTCATGGAAGCCCAGGCTCTGTGGAATTGTCCCTGGTAACTGCTGGCTCCTACCTGTTTAGATTACAGACAACAATGGAAGGTTGGTCCTAGCCCTCCTGGCTGCAGGGAAGAACACTGATTTACTGGGGCAAAGCCACCCTCCATTCTGCCTCGCGGATCAGCTGCGAAACTGCCCCCAGCTCAGTCCTGAGGGCAGACAAGCGGTAGGAAAAAACCCAGCCTGGGACTCCGTACCTGGCTGGAGCGTGCGGCACCAGCAGACCAAGAACCACTTTCCCCTTTGCACTTCCAAGCGCAGACCTGCTCAGGGAAGCCACCGGTGGGAATGACCAGTTGCTTTCCCGGCCACACCTGCACATCCGAGCGCCCCACCCAGCGTGCCATCCACGGTCCTACACAGCTTGGCACTGTCTGAACCTAGGGTCACTGTAGGGCTGGTGTGACGACACACTGCGCGCTGTCAGTGGGGACTGAACCCTGGATCGTCAGTACCAAAAGTACAGACCTCTGATGCTCGCGCTAAAGGAATCCTGCTGCCAGCTGTAGAAGGCTCTCACCACTTAGGTAGGCCCAGCCACTTTAAGCTGGTGCATTACAGCAAAGGGAATAAAGGGAGTCCAGGATACATCTGTAAGGAGAACTACACTCCCCTGTGACCTGCCCCCCCAATTCCCCAAGCCCCCTGTGAGTTCTGCTTCTCTCCCCACTGCCGCCTGCACTTGCCCACCCAATGCCCAAGTGATCTACCCCTGTATGGTGTGCCCTAAAATACTCCCTCCTTTTAGACCCACTGGCCCCGCCGTAACACCCCTGTATGGCCTGTCCCCATGCTCCTCCAGGCTCCCTCTGAACTTGTCCTTTGCCCCCCCCCGCACTTCTCCCCAATACCACCTGCATTTGCCCCCAGCACCCCATGATGTGCCCCCTCCCCCAAGCCTCCTGCATGACCTACCCCTCCCGCTGCATTTGCCCACAGCCCTTCCCCCATGACCTGCCCCTTCCCCCAATGCTCCCTACATGACCTGCCGCTCCTCCTGAATTTGCCCTGCCCCGTGCATTTGCCTCCTGGCTCCATAGCCTATCCCCCTGCATGGGTCCCCAGCACCCCATGCCCTGCCCACTCCCCCTGCATTACCCCCCAGCACCCCATGCCCTGCCCGCTCCCCCTGCACTGGCCTCCAGCCCCACACGCTGTCCCGCCCCACATTAACCCTCAGCCCCCTATGTCCTGCCCCTGCATTGGCCCCCCACGCCCTGGCCCTCCAGCCCCCCATGCCCTGCCCCCCTCCCCCTGCATTAGCTCCCAGCCCTCTATGCCCTGCCCCTCTGCATTGGCCCCCCATACCCTGCCCCCTCCCCCTGCACTGGCCCCCAGCCCCCCCATGCTGTCCCGCCCCACATTAACCCTCAGCCACCTGTGCCCTGCCCCTGCATTGCCCCCCCCCCATGCCTTGTGCCCCATGCCCTGCCCTCCTCCCCCTGCATGAGCCCCCCGTCTCCCATGCCCTGGCCCCTGCATTAGCCCCCCCGCCCTGCCCTCCTCCCCCTGCATGAGCCCCCCGCCCCCCATGCCCTCCCTTCGTACCGGACCAGAGCAGCAGCTTGTCGTGCGCCTCCTCCTGGGAGCCCGAGTCGGCGGCCAGCACCGTGGAGGTGGCGGCGTAGGGCAGCGCCGAGCCCAGGCAGGCGGTGGAGCGGAGGCGCTCGCAGGGCGCCGCTCGCTTGCAGCGGTCCCGGGCGGCCGAGGCGTTGAGCTGCGCCCCGCGGCAGGCGGGCGGCCCCGGGCCCAGGCTCAGCTGCAGCAGCAGCCCCCAGAGCAGGGGGCCCCGGGCCCAGCCCGCCGGGCCCATCCCCAGCCCCCCGCGCCCCTCCTCGCCTCCCCTAGGGCGAGCCGGGCCCCGGGGCCGCGGGCCCCTTTGCAAACTCCCAGCCATCTTGGGCAGCCTCGCCCCGCGGCCCCCCCGCGCCCAGGACCATCCTAGCGACCCCCCCTCCCCAAAGAGCCACCCCTCAGCCTGCCCCCTGCGCTCCCCCAGCCCCCGGGGGCACTCCCCGAGCTCCCGCAGGCGGGAGGGACGGGCCTTGAAACGCGGCTCCCCCCCCCGCCCCGTTTCTTGCGCGCA